CGATCGCACCTCGTATCTACAACTAACAGCAACAAATGAATATTGCGTTCATGAAGAAGTGAATGCTCACTACCATGCAATTTGTAGTGGTTAAACCTTTAATTTTGGTTGTATTGCATGGGTGTGGAATTTGGTCTTCTTATTAATGGCGGAACACGACTGAGTGTGTTCAAGAACGATACTGAGAAGAATATTTGGACATAAGACGGTTGAAGCATTTTTGGGATTGTAATGTTAAAATGGATGTTAGGGAAATTGAGTTGTGAGTATGTGGACCATTGGTGGTCTCGTTTGCACCTCTGTGATCCATAGAAGACAGGGAATCTCTTGACTTTCTGAAAAATAACTGCTTTATGGAGTTATTTAATACACTATAATTTATTTGCATTTTATACTTGCAGATATATAATATAATCATAAAGTTTCATGTCATTACCATTTTTTTTTTGAATGTTGATTTATAAATCGCGTCATACACTTGTAGAAGTGTTTGTAATCCAGCTTCGTGCGAAATTTCGTATTCCTGTGTTGGCGATTCTGAGCGAGTTCGCGTAGCCATTGTAACTCCCACGTCATACCTTGTGCACAATTCTCACTGCTCTTATTGGCAGGATTGTGGGTGAGGCAGATTGTTACTAATTTGCTGTACTACGTCAGATGCAGTAGGTAAGACAGACAGACAGACAGACAGACTGACAGACTTGGATCTCATGAGCTGTTCACTGTGTGCCGTGTGGTAAATGAAGTTGATTGATTTAGTGTGTAGATTAATTGAATTGGCGTACGAACGTAAATACAGGTGTTGAGGTTCTCAAAAATGTGCACTGATGTCAACACTGATATACTGCAGACCGGCGTTTATTAATCTGTGGTTCGTGGACCCCCTGGAGATCCGCGACTGTTTAAGAAATTAAATAATTTTTCCCAGCAGATTTTTTAAGCATGTGTACATAAAAAAGGAAAGTATGAAATTGAAATGTTTTAAAACGCTCTGTAAAAGTGAATGAATTCGAAATTGGAATAAATAGACTTGTGGTGGGTTTTAAAAAAAAACGGTGGATCGTTGGCTTAAGTTTAAGCGGGAAAACACTGAAGACGTCAATCAAGGTGCATCATGTTGAAAACAAAGTGCTCTAATTCAAAAGAAGGCTAACTAACTAACTAACTAACTAACTAGATGGCTTACCGACCCCGAAGGTTCATCACCGAATTAACCAAAGCCCTCCACCGGACCCTGTCCTGGGCCAACAAACTCCAGTCTCCTTCAACTCCTATCTCCCATAGATCCCGCCTGATATTATCCTCCCATCTACGTCTAGGTCTCTTCCCCTCAGGCTTCCCAACCAATACCTGGTGTACACCTCTTGTCCCATCCATGCGCGTTACATGCCCAGCCCATCTCATTCTTCTCGACTTAATCACCCTCACAATACTGGGGGAGCAGTAGAGATTTTTAAGCTCATCATTATGCAGTTTTCTCCATGTCCTATCGTCTTCTCTCTTAGGCCCAAATATCCTCCTCAACACCCGATTCTCAAACACCTGCAATCTGTGTTCCTCCCTCTGAGTGAGAGACCATGTTCTGCACCCATACAAAACAACAGGCAAGATTATTGTTTTGTGTATTTTAATTTTCAGGTTCTTAGAGATCAGACGGGAAGACAAAATATTCTGAACCGAGAAGTATCAAGCATTTCCGGAATTTAGTCTCCTCCTAACTTCCTCACAAGTATCATTTTGATTTGTTATTGTTGTTCCCTGATATTTGAACTTTGTAACCCTTTCAAAGGATTTATTAGCCACCCTAAGATAATTTTGCCCGCCTGTCTTCTGACGACGAGATACTAACAGAGCAAGGGAGACAAAGCATCTCCTTGTTTTAGACCGTTCTTGATGAAGAATGTCTCAGATACATATTTACCTACTCGAATTTTGCTACAGGTTTCATTTAAGCAAATTTTTATTAGACTCACTAGCTTCTTTGGTATACCAAATTCAATAAGAATATTATATAACATTTCTATCTTAACAGAGTCACAGGCTTCCTTGAAATCTATAAATAATTGATGTACGGTTCCACTGAACTCCCATTTTTTCTCTGGTATCTGACGAATGAAAATGCTGTGAAAGCTTCGTACGAAGTGTCCATGCTCATAGATGAAGCTGGAAAACCTCATACAGACACTAAAGAACTTATATTACCTGCTGCAATAGCCGTGGTTACTGCAGTGGTCGGAGAAAAAGCAGAGAGAATTTTGTGGCGTTGTCTAACGACACGTAAACAAGCGAACTGGCGAAATTTCAGACAACGTAAAAAAACAATTGACTGAACGAATTTGTAGTACGAATTATTGCCTACAGATGGATGAAAGTACGGACTTTGCAAATAAATCTAATTTACTGTGTTACGTTAGATAATATGAAGGAAATATTGTTGAAGATCTATTGTTCTACTGCTTTTTGATACACTGGGGAAGATGTGTACAGTAATTTGAATGAATTTCTGACGTCATGTGGATGGAATTCAGTGGTCCAGGTGCGTAGGAATCATCACAGATGGCACGCGTGCCTTGTCTGGGAGACTAACTGGACTCATTGCAGGCGTAAGGGAAAATAACCCTTCAGTTACATGGCATCATTGTTGCATTCGTCGAGAATCTTTAGCCACTAAGAAGATGCCAGAAAAATTGAAAAATATCTTGAACGAATCAGTCAAAATCGTAAATTTTATCAAAGTTTGGTCACAAAATTCAAGGCTTTTTGGGGAGCTTTGTCAGTCGAGGTAATGATTAAAAAGTTAGAATTGTGGTCTCGTCGCTTATGACAAAGAAATCTCGATGCTTTTCATAACCTGAAGACCTTTCTGGAATCTGCTGATGAAGAATTATCGAACGAAGTCTTTGAATGTTTTACCCAACAGCTGCAAGATCTGCGATGCACTTTTCGCGAACACTTTCCACCTCGAGATGAAAGTAAAAAATTGGGTTAAAGATTCATTTAATGCAGATATTGACGAATTAGCGAGACTGACAGGATCATAAGAAAATAGCTGGACTGAAATCTCTACGGACAGTGCACTAAAACTTCAATTCAGTAAAATTTTATAGCGATTTTTTAGCTGCATGTACGAACGGATTATCCTTAATTATCGTACTAAGCACTGAAAGTTTTAATTCCATTCCCCACCTCAAATTTTTATGAAAAAGCTTTCTCATCTCTTACGTACCTAAAAAACTTGAATGCAGAAACTGCTTAAGAAGTGTAGAATCTGACCTAAGAATTCAACTCTCAGAAATAAAACGAAGTATTTACAAGCTTGTCGCCAATCCATTAAAGTTAAAATTAGGATTTTTGTATATTTTTTGTTTGAGAATTAAATAAAGTATTTTTGTACTTTGTTTATTTATTTTTTATTTTTTGTGTATTGTTTTGAGGTTAAAATCGTAGAAATGGTTTTAGGGGCCTGCGGCTTCCAATAGTGATTCATTGGGGGTTTGCAGAAGTCCTTCACGCTAGCCAGTGTACACATAACCTTCCTTCTTTCAAACAATGTCTACTCCTCTCCGAAAATTAAAATGTATTTGAAAGGTTTGGCTATCCTCTGAGAAGGATATCAGCTAGCTAACTTGTCATCCATGTCCTGAGATCTAATTAAGCTTAAACCTAATTAACTGTTTATTAAACAAGGGATGCAGTCTTCAGATTGAAGCCAAGCTGTCAGGCAATTTTGAGACATAGCTGGGTCTTATATTTACCAAATTGTGTCATTACTTTTGATCCCAGGACCTATTTCTCAACATTTAAGATCTGCCATTAAACTAGTTCATCCGTCTTTTGCATCACCAGAAATTATTAGCTTGTGACATGCTCTTTCTAATTCTTAATGAAGCTCATATATAATTTAAAGATCCTTTAAAATTATGGTGGGGTTACCACCACATAATTTTCATATGCCTACCATGTTGTCACTAAAAGTACAAAGTTCAGACGTTTATATTTTGGTTCCATCCATCAGGATGATAGATATTACTAAATTAAATAATAAAATAAATAAAATAATTATTTAAAATAATTAAAATATAAAATTAATTAAATTAAATTTATATTAAATATTTAAAATAATTAAAATAAATTTAATGTAGATTTAATCAAAACGTTCGGCTGGTGTAAGAACTCGAAGGTGGGATGCACATGAACAGACAGGCACAGTGATTTCATGGGCTACCCCCCCCCCCCCGCCCCCCTTAAAAACATTTCATAAATTTGACGCCCAGCCTTTCCAGAACAAGTGCAAGCAAACAGATTTGACATAAAAATTTACGTATTAGTATACAGCACTGTAAGACAACTAAACTGCCTCAACCAAGCAAAGGATGTTAAAAATGTTTCTCTATATTTCGTTAAAAAAAGTTTTTCATAAAAACACGCCCCCCCCCCCCGGGGGGGGGGGGGGGGGAAAGATGGAAAGGAAGCTGAAAGAGACTTCAGAGATACTGGACTGAATTTGAACAAAGATTGTGTGCTCACTGTGTTATCATAAACAATGGAATTTTTATAAACTGAATAAAGACTTTGATTGTTTTCAGAACCACAGTGTCCTTATTCACCAAGTTTGGGTTTTCCATGAAGAACTTCTTCGTCTTCTTCTATGGCTCTCCGGTCCGTATTCGGTCCATGGCCTCCTCAATTCTCCTCTTCAATTCGGTCCTCTGTTAGGTCCATTCTGTCCGAGGCTTTGATCGAGGTTTCGAAACATCTTTCTTTTTACGGTGCAAGGTTGTTAGCCTTGCGACTAACCCCCAACCTGGAGGACCAGGGTACCTGTCTTAGTCTGACCTCTCCCCCTCGACCAATCTGGCTAGGGAGGCCCTACCAGTAGCTCTTGGGGTCACTGAGGTACTCAAGCCCCACCACCACGACAAGGTGAAGGTACAATTAAGTGGGGTTTCATGAAGAACTAGTGAACCAATTTAATGAAACTTAGTTTTCTGTTCTTTCAGTGAATTAAAACCAGAAGATAAGGATCGACGATTGTTGATTGAAGTGTGGGATTGGGACCGCACATCTCGCAATGATTTTATGGGTTCGCTGTCATTTGGCATCTCGGAGCTGATCAAGGCCCCCGTTGAAGGTTGGTACAAGCTGCTAACGCAAGAAGAAGGAGAATTCTACAATGTGCCTGTGCCAGAGGAAGGTGCTGAACTAGCGTCACTCAGGAACCAGATGAGGGTAAGTAAAGTTCGTGGCATTAAGCTTTGTCGTATCACGTTTGCTAATCAGCGGTGTAGTTACAGGCTTAAAGTTTTGTCAGAATGTTCATCTGATATTTTGATAGGTGAAGAATGTCCATCATGTGAATTTCTGTGAAACAATTTTTAAAATGGTATAAATGACAAACTGTTAGTAGATTTTTGAGTGATCCAAGTCACTGAACTGTAATTATGTGTTTCAGTCTTTTAATTTCAAGTGCTACCTTTAACAGAAAATCAAAGTTCCAGTGAAATGGATTGTTCTCTTTTAAAAATTGCAACATATACTAAGTGATTAACCTCTTAAATTATAGGTGATTTAATAAATAAGTCTAATAATTGTACGTTTTTATGTTATCATGGAAATGACGTCTAACGAATTGAATTGTCAAATGGTGGAAGGGTATTTATTTTTGCTGAAGCTGTCAGATTCGAGAAAACATCAGATAGAAATGTTGTTTTAAGTGGTTCCCTTGCCTACGTCAGCATGATGCGTCCTCAGGTCGTGGATGTAGACAGCCTGCACATTTGGAGAGTAGCTGAGAATGTATTTAATAAGCTGTCATGGTAGCTGACAAAGCTGGGTCCTGCAGCTTGGAGATTGGAGATAACACCCCTTTGTAAAAAAAGCTGGCATGTTACGAAAGGTCACACGTGGCTCTGGATATGATTATACCATTTGACATGATGCAATTCAAAATGAACATGAGGTTTGGAACCTCAGATGTTAGAAGTCTGTGTAGATCCATTTAATTGAAAACAGTTGCAAGAAAACTAGTAAAGTTATGTTAGATTTTGTGAAGTGCCGTCACAGTGGCTATGCGGTCAGGGGCGTGGGCCTTGTGCCACCCAGATGCTGGGACCATGGGTTCGAATCCCACTCAAAGCACGGATGTTTGTCCGCGTCTTTCTGTGTTGTGCTTTCCTGTGTACAGGTAGAGGCCTTGCGACGAGCTGATCACTCGACCAAGCAGTCCTACCAAATGTCTAAATAGATCAAGCGAACCTCCAAAAAGAGAGGAAGAAAGGAGACCCTGCCAAAGCGGGACAAATGCTAAAGAAGAAAGACAAAAAAGTTGGACTTTGTGAGAATACAGGAAGTAAGGAGAGAGTTAAGATACCTCAATCAGAATAGTGACTAGTTTATAGTCCAAATGACTTGAATCTGTGTCATGGCAGAGGTAGTGATTTTCCCCATTACCGCTGCATCTAGCAGCTCTGCGGTTCTTCCCGTCCTGTGTCTGGGAGGAAGAGGTTTTGTTTCCCGAAGAGTAAAGTGGCCATTGTGTGAAGCTGACCATTCACTTCCATCTGCTGAGATTAAGAATTCATGGAGCTATATGTCTTCTCCCGCTGCATCTTCATAGCCTAATTTAGCACTGGGGACAGGTTTTCTTTTGCAGAGGTGAATCAAATCATAAACTAGGATAGAGTTGGTTGTTGATGGAAGACATTTTTCCAGGTCTGATTTGGGTGCCAGCAGGTAGCGTGTTCTCTGATATTGGTATGTATGGCTAGGAAAATCCTGATTTATAGCTGCTCAGATACTCTGGATTCATGCATTTCATCATAGTCATTCCATGAGTATGTATATGTTAGGTGATGGAGTCTAACCGAGGGTCAGCGATAATACTTTGGTTTGTTGGGGATGATTGTAGGTACTGTATGTAAGTGATGTATAATCCATTTCCCTCCTGAAAAACACTTCACTGACCACTATTTAACATGGTCAATCAGTGGACATTCATTTTCCCATATTTTTTCTATGTGAAATTTCTGCTGCACTGAGTAATAAATATCTCTTTTATTCACTCGATCAACCGCGTGAATTCAAGTAATCATGACAAACATTATTTTACGATTCATGATTTAATGTGTCATCTTTATTTTTCAGTCCATTTACACTTTCTTGTAACTTTCAAGTGCTAAATTCTGATATTGTTGTAATTTCTAATTCATAATTTGCAATCGTCTAATCAATGAAGTTAGGTCTAATGACTGTCCTATCTGAAATGTTACCAAAGAATTGTTGCCAAAACAGTGATCTGCTGAAAAAAAATTCTTATAGTCTTGTTTCACTCTTATTGGCTCGTTGATAGTGATGGGCGCAGTTCAATGAAAACTGTCAAATATTTCTGTTGTTACAAACTATCAAATATTTAAAAACAATGGAAAGAATTTATTTGTTTAGAAGACCTTAGAGGAACGTAATGAATCATTTGGTTTTGTCCATTTATTTGACTACAAAAACACATCAGAGCCTCTTGCTTCATGGGCACATGGTGGGGTAAGGCGAACATGTGGTCTTGTTTTCTTTTCAAACACTTGAATGAATTCATTGGTTATGACACAATTTTTTTACATTGTGCATTTGAATGTGTTATCTAATTATGCAGTTGCTTCTTGAAGAGTTGTTTGAATCATTCCAAACATAGTTTAAAAATAATTTGACATGACAACATTTTTTATGTACAACAGTATAAACCCCCAATGTAATTTGTATCTAATAAGAATAAATTTTTAATACTGATAAGCAAACATGCTGTGATGTTTAAAATATATGACGTGTAAAAGCAGCAAAATATCTTGGTCTGTAAATTGGTAACCCCCTAAATTAGAAAAGTTCGGAAGAACTTATACAAATGTACTTGCTTTCTACCAAGTAATACAAGAAAATAAATTCAAAGACATTTATTACAACATTAAGTTATTCATTACTCAAATACATTTAATTTATTTTCTGTCTTTCAGATATACTCATTCCTTTGCGATCAATCAAATACTTTGATTTGATGAAAATCAGAATGAAAATTGTTGAATGTTGTTACGTTTTAATATTTAAATATTTGATATTATGAACAGCGTCAGTTGTGAGGTCACTCCCCTTCCTATTTGTATACTTTGTAACATTAATGCATTAATTGCCCAGACACACTGAAGAATAATAATAAGTGCATTGTGTACTGTTCACTGTTGTCATTGGTTTGGTGACTGTTTTGTGCACTAGCATAAGGATTAGAATTTGACTGGCTCACATTTTACTTTGAAGATGTTACAATATGGCATCCATAAGTCATGACCACTTTATACTATGAAACTGAAGTATGCGTGGCATGGGACAGAAAGGTATAAATTATTAGCAGTTTGTTTCTGTATTTGACTGTGTAACCCATCTTAAGTGGGTCCCTTGTCACCGCTGCATGGCATGTTTTTGGGTTATCGATGGAAGAGAAGTCCACCAGGTATGGAGAGTGCCTGAAAATATATTGAACAAATAGTCACAGACATCCATTAAGATCTTGTCCTCCAACTTGAGCTTGGGTTGGAGATTAACAACTCCTGACAGTAAAAGAAATCAGGAAATTGCAAAATGTTATACAGGTCTCTGGACTTGGAGGATTCTTTGGAGTGATCTAACCAATGGAAAATTTTCATAATATATGTGATGGTTTAATGAAATGGGGTTTGAGTTGTAAACTTCGCTGTGAAAGAATCTAATTGTCAAAGAGTAAAATGCTTCCAAATTGCAGAATTCATAAATGCACTTGTACTTCTCCTAACAGAGCTTCTAATAATATAGCGAATAAAATATACAAAACTGTAATTCCATTTCTTATTTACATGGGCGTGCTCTCACATTAAGGGAAGAACATAGATTGAAGGTGTTGAAAACATTCATATCTCACAGAGCGAGAGTAGGCTGGGGAAAAACCATAATGAGGAGTTCCACATTTTGTACTATTTAACAATTATTATTTTAATATTATATCAAATAGGATGGGATGGGTGGGGCATGCACCACTCATGACACAGATTTGAATTAAACAGAAAAGTTCGGTTGGAAAACATGAAAGAAACAGCCAACTTGGAGGATCTAGACAAAGATGGGACGATGAAAATAAGATGGATCTTGAGGAAATATATTTTGGAGGGTGTTTACTGAATTTTTCTGGCTCAAGATGGTGACCAATGGTAAGCTTTTTTGAACACAGTAATGAGCCTATGGGTTCCATAAAGACAGGGAATTTCTTGACTAGCTTCTCAATAAGATCTCTGTTTCGTAGAGTTATTTAGGTAGACATCTTGACAAATGGGTAGTGTGAGATGAATTGAGACTTTGTCCTGCAGGTGTCTATAGCTGCTCTGAATAGACGAGCATTAAACCCAACATAAGTTGCTTCCCATGTGCTCTTTATTCTGACAGAAACCTTCCTGAGTGCATACTTTAAATTTTTGTTGTTCCATGACATAAATTTGTACTCACAAGTTGAGGTTTTGTTTTTCTCCACAATGAACCATTCAGTTGAGCATAATCTGTTTTATATCCTTTAGTCTGCCAGCATTGTTCAATGGAAATGAAAACAAACTCAGCTTCTGGATTAGTCATAAAACTGGTTTGTGTTCCAAACAAGATCAAGGAGAGAAAACACCTTTACATTTTACTGTTTGGTCAGGTTTATTCTAATTTGAAGCACTTCTTTGTTTTCATTTGGGACAAAGTGTTATTTAAGTACATTTGACTGGAATGTCATGGTTTGATTTTCTGGTTCTGTTTTAAAAATTTAACAAATTCAATCAGCAAGGTCTCCAGCAAAATTCTTTCTTTCAAAAGTAAAGCAATTGAAAAATACTTTTAAATATGTTGTCTGTGTGAATTGAACAAAAGTAATATGGACAAAATGGAAACATGATTTTATGAAATTAATTTTTGTAGATTGGAAAGTAGATAAAGGAAATAACCTATTTTAATAAATATTGTTATTGCTAGGAATGTTTGTGTGAAGTTCATGACTTCGTATTCTTAATTCAGTTACTATGGAGGAGTGTGAACAAAATAGCTTGTTGGCTGTCAATTCTGTTTGATTTGAGAATGGCGATTAGTAATCTTAAATTGATATTCTTGAAGTTGATTAATTTCAGAATTGGTGTTGATAATTATGCTTTCTTGTGATAGTCATATGAGGGAAGTATATGGTAATT